ATATTTACTTGTTTTAAACTTTTTATTTACATTTCTTCAGTTACTTCCTGGTTTCCAGGCCTAGCCAAATGATGTCATACTTGTCAGGAGTCTTCAGGAAGGGAGGAGAGATTTCCTCAGCTAAGCACACCCTCCTGTCTGCATGGCTGAGATAAGGGCAGATGGATTCTAGGAAGTAAATGCTAGATGAATCATCTGCCCTTACTCAAGATGGCCCAGGCCAGAAATGCTAGGGAGATGTTTTTCAAAGTGATTTCTTGGCAAAATAAAGCATGGAGGCATGGATGGATGGATGGATACGTTTGCTTTAAATATTAAAAATGAGTTAAATACCGCTTTTTGTTTGCAGTGCTCAGATGTAGTGTAGTTTTGTTTTAAGAACAGCTCAAAAAAACTGGTTATACACTAATAGAATTTCATTACTAAATGTTAATTTTCAGAACATTTGCCTGATTTTCTAAAGCAGGGGTCTCTAAACCTTTCAGAGCAAGGGCCACATTGCAAATTTTACAATTATTTGGGTGCTGGAAAAAATCCCTATCAGAATCCCCCTTACATCAGGGTCAGCACTTACATCATGGCCTCCACTACATTAGGGTTACCTCTTACATAAGAGCCCCCAACAGAGACTCCACTTACGATACAGTCTCCCTTATATCAGGGTCCTCATCAGAGTCACTCCTCACAACAGGGTTCACATCAGAGTCCTCCCTTACACATCAAACCCTACTTTGAAATCGTACGACTTACAAACCGCATGCCAATTCGTATCCAGTGTGACCGGGGTGTTAGGGTCCAATCACACCCCATGCAATGATACTGCATTGGCCAGCGCAGACCCACCCCATGACAGGCAAAACGCCATGTCTCCTGTGTGCCCGGTTCACAACACTGCATTGTGGTGGTGTGTGGGCATGATGGGCTGAAGACACTGGTGCATACACTAATTTTCTTCAGCGCACCGCAGTGCAGCGGGAGGCAGACAACTGAACTTTCTGAAATGTCTGTGTGACATTTCAATAAAGTTTGTTTTACAAAAAGGAAACAGTGCGGTACAGTCCTGTGACCCGTCAGACCACATCGCACACCAGTTGCTGAGTTATAAAACAGCGGCTGGTGTGAGTGGAGCCTTAGGATCCCATCAGAGTCTCCCTTACATCAGAGTCCCCCCTTAGATCATAAGCGGAGATCACAGGCAGCCTCTGCTGACCTTAATGCTCAATTTGTGCACATTGGGGATACACCACTGACCCTATCTGCGCACCGGATAACACCTTGTGTAGGTGGCCCATGGGTTGTAGCTTGGAGACCTCTGTTCTAATGCTTGGTGGGACCAAATGGACGATTGTTTTCAACCAGAGTCACAACAAAATTAGAAGGAGCAGGATGGAAAACTTTTGACAAACAAGCTTAATTCTAGTTGTGAATGTGGTTGTCATTTGGGAAAAATCGTACATATTGTAATGTTCTAGGCATCAAATCAACCTGTTTATTATGTCTGAGATTCCATTCAAGTAGTGGAACTGGACAACACTGTTAGGGCTTTTGAACTAAATTAGTTGACTGAATGATGGCATCACTGAATGCTCTGAAGGATGATTTTACAGGAAAACTTTCAGATAAAATTCTACTGGTGAATGGCCAGCTTTACTGTAACTTTTCGTAATGGAAGGACACACGGATAGATGATTTAGAAGCTAGTCTGTAGTATCTAGGGGATCCTGGTAATATTAAGATACAGGAACAGGACACAGACGTATCAGGTGTCAGTTTCATGTGCAATGACTATCTGGCTTCCATTGCATTGCCATCTCTGCCGAATCCACATAACTGCTTTCTTCTAGGTCTAAAGAATAACTAGTCACCAATCCGAATATTATCCAGTAACAACAATTGGGTGCTTTGTATGACAACCAGACTGTGCATGGTGTATAAAGGGTGCATGTACTAGGCAAAAAGAGTATTCTAGTGACTGCAAAATGTCAGCCAATTTCCTACACAGAGTGCCCTTTGTAGACACTTTAAATGCTTGCTTCATGCTTCAAAAACATATTCTGAGGGTCAGATTGGCCATGATAGAAGAAACAAAGACCGCTGGCTAACAATTACATTTTTTGTTATTGCAAATATATCAGTTCTCCATTCTGTAAGCGCAAGGCCAACCAAAGGGAATCCAGGCAAATAAAACAAATAAATAATGTAGCTGTAGTCATTAATAAATCATTAAAGTGGAATTATGGGCAAAATGTTTTCTTTTCATTTTGGATAGAGTAAGGGAGGGTTATAACCCCTGACGGTATTTTTTTTTGCTTTCCACTAAAACTGCCCTACTAAAACTCACTAATGATTTACTAACTGCTAAAACCAATGGCCACTACTCCATACTCTTACTACTTGACCTCTCTGCGGCTTTTGATACGGTTGACCATCCCTTCCTCCTCAATAAACTCCACTCTCTTGGCCTCCGAGACTCTGCTCTCTCCTGGTTCTCCTCCTACCTATCGCAGCGCTCCTTCAGCGTTACCTATAACTCTGTCTCCTCCTCTCCACAACCTCTTTCTGTAGGGGTTCCTCAAGGTTCTGTCCTTGGACCCCTTCTCTTCTCCATCTACACCTCCTCCCTTGGTCACTTGATAGACTCCCATGGCTTTAAGTACCATCTCTATGCTGATGACACACAAATATATCTTTCACCTCCCCTTCAGTCTCCTCTCACATTACTAACATACTAAGTGACAAATCGGCATGGATGTCACTCCACTTCCTCAAACTCAATCTTTCCAAAACTGAGCTCTTAGTATTCCCCCCAGCAAGTGCCCCCTCCCCTGACTTCTCCATCAAGATCAATAACACGACCATCAGTCCCTCCCCTCATGCCAGGGTACTAGGTGTAATCCTAGATTCCCATCTGTCCTTCCAGCCCCAAATCCAATCGTTGTCCAAATCTTGTGTACTTCACCTCCACAACATCTCCAAGATACGGCCGTTCTTAACTTCTGAAACTACTAAGCAACTTATTTACTCCCTTGTTATATCTCGCCTTGACTATTGTAACTCCCTCCTCATTGGCCTACCTCATCGCAGGCTATCCCCTCTTTAGTCTATCATGAATGCTGCTGCCAGACTCTTCCACCTTACTAACCATTCCATATCTGCCACCCCTCTCTGCCAATCCCTCCACTGGCTTCCCATTGCCCAACGGATAAAATTCAAAATATTAACAATCACATATAAAGCCATTTGTAACTCTGCCCCAAATTACATCCACGATCTTGTCTCCAAATATCACCCAAACCGTTCACTCCGCTCCTCCCACGACCTCCTGCTCTCTACCTCCTTTGTCTCCTCCTCCTCCCATGCTTTTCTCCGGGACTTCTCCAGAGCCTCCCCCTTTCTCTGGAACGCTCTACCCCAATCTATCCGACTATGGCCTACTCTTCCCACCTTTAGGCAATCTCTTAAAACTTATCTCTTCAGGGAAGCTTATCCCACCTTCAGTTAATAACGGAATCTTCTATTCATCCTATCAGTCCATCCCCCACAGTTATTTCCTTTTCTACCACCAGCCCCTCCCTCTTAGATTGTAAGGGCCCTCCTTTCCCTCTTGTATTGCACTGTATCATTACTGTATTGTCTCTCTTTTATATTGTAAAGCGCTGAGAAAACTGTTGGCGCTATATAAATCCTGTATAATAATAATATTAATCTGTGTCCCATTGGGGAGATTTCCTTTAACTTCCTGCCCCATAGCCAAAACAGGAAGTGAGAGGAAATCCCTGCAAATTAAAGGAATTCCTTGGGGCCCCCAGGTCACCAGAATTAGTTTCCCCATTGAAAGATCTCCCCAAAATTTGGGGGTTTCTTTTACTTTCACTTTCAATGATAATGGTAAACAGGACAAATAGAGAGAGTGAAACTCTGTAATGGGGGCACAGACAGCAATAAAAACCTGATAAGTGTTCTAATCCATCTCCACCCTGTCCAAAACAAAAAAAAAGTAACTTTAGTTATACTTTAAATGTATTTTTGTTAATGAAAGCAGTGTAACTTCCTGAATTTGATTTGGTATCAGCCTCTTTAAATCCACTATACAGCAAAGATCTGACTGGGAGGGAAGAAGCAGCACAAAGAGCCAATCAGTTGTTTTGCAGTGCTCAATAAACAAACAAAACAAACAAACAAACAAACAGGAGGAGAGAGCAGAGTAACAGAGAGTTAAAGTCATCAGTCTGCTGCTTCTCCTTTCACTGTGTTTTGTAACTGAGGCAGAGAAAAATGAAGTGTGCACTGTACAGAGCTGTGTAAATCTCAAGACTGAAAAGATAGAAATACAAAGGATAGTAGATACAAAAACACCCATATATACATTTCTTCTGTGTAGTTATCTGTTCACCTGGAGTTCAGCTATACTGACACTAATGACAGCACAGGCTATTATCAGAAAATGCTACTTAACCAAATATGTAAAGTGGTTGTAAACCTCAGATATGAAATGTGAACAAAGTATTTCCCTCTATATTATGTACTTGTCTCAGTTAAGAGCATGAAGTGGCATTTCTGTCTGCAGCTTCCTTCCTCTGCTATCAGCATGAATCACTTCTGACAACTTTTCCTGACACCAAGACAAAAATGGTAACAGGGGAGGGGTTTCCTGCAGATTGACAGCTTCTGATCTGTTCCTGTGGGCTGCGAGGAAGGGCGAGTGTGTTTCTTCTCTCCAATCAGCTCTCAGAGCTCTCCTCACTGAGCTCCACAGTGTGTAACTTCAGCTCTCTGCCCACTTTCTTCTGAACTCTCAGACAAGCTTTATAAATTCTGGACTTTGAACCGATATAGAAAAGAGAAGACTGCAGATAAACAGGCACAACTTATGTCGGATGATTTGTTTCATCTCTGTGTATCGCCTGAGGCCAGTCACTTGACTGGGTATATCTAAGGGTTTACAACCACTTTGAGCAGCACTGCAGCAACAAAGAGTATATTTCTTTAAAGGGTGCCCATTATTTTAATGTTATAGACATCAGAAGTGAAGACAAAATAACAGTCAACTTACCTCCGAGAAACTGTATTCCACCAGCCACTCTCCCCACAGTCCTGGAGATAAGCTCTGAGACACAACATCCCATGATGGCGGTGAGTGCCACCAGAAGAAGAAGACCACATCCAAGTCCAGTAACCACAGTGCAGATCCGCCACTCGGGGCTTGGTATGGCCTGGAAAGAGGCATAGCGGCCACACTGTTCTACCATCACCGTGGTCTGGCGGCTTTCATCTCGAACAGGGTAAGAACATCTTCGGAAGGTCCCAAATGATACTGGCTTATCCAACTGAGAGCCCAAGAGCCAATAAGGCATGAAAAACCCAACACAAGAAGCTCCGGCACAGAGGAAAGACAGGAGTGCCCAAATCACCCCGGTGCATGTCAAACTGGATGCCATGATGTTCTGCCAACAAGGGAAACGTCATCAAAGGTTAAACAGAGTAAAAACAAACAAGATTATCCAAAGGAAAAGGGGTATTGTGCAATCTTCAAATAGAGCTTAATCCTGCACAGCTTAATATCCAGAAGATGGAGTCCGTACTCGTTTCACCGAGGAATCCCTGAGAAAAGGGGAAAACAAACATAATTATGGGTAGGAATGCAAATAAAACTACATTTAGTGGATAATTAAACTCTGATCCTCCTACCAAGTCATTCTCTTTTTGGTTACATGACGGAAATCTCTACTTATGGAATACAGGTTACGGCAAATGAAATAAAAAGTCAATTTTCTAGTGTCTAGTTCTGTTTTTCTCATGGGCTTCCAAAAATGATTTGCCCAGCTCCCTATTTGAAAGGGAATAACCGAGCCGCCTGCTCAATAAGTAAATTTAATTTAGTGATACAAATGAATGGCAATCTTGGGATATTCAGCATGGACACAATACCCACACAAGCAGCCCAGAAAGAATGCTTTAGAACACAGATCTTCAAGAAGCTTGGCTTTGTTAGAAAGGGTTCATCCGTATGACCAAAATAATCAAAGGCAAAGAACAGACAAAGAAGAGGAAAGCTTTTCAATGGCCATTTTCTAAAAACCTAGAATAAGATGGGAAAGTGAAATATGTGGAAAGGTGCAGGCAAATATCACTAAGATGTAACAATAACTGTAGAAAGTGAAAGTGTCGTAACGTGGACCTTGAACAAAAATTACAAGGTGCGGTTATTTAATGATAGCCTCCTCCCCCCTCTGAAATCACTGCAAAAAACTCCCCCACAAAATAAGAAAAACTATTCGGGAGAAAAAAGTTTCCTCCTGGCTTCTGCTCGTGGTGCCTATGTTATCACCAACCTTCTGGTGAAGTCAGGGAATCCTGGGCAGCCTAAAACTCATGAGAAGGTGCTACTGTACTATGTTTTAGATTTTTCCTTCATGAGGTTTAGGGTGCTTGGAATTCCCCGGGTAATTGTTAGGAAGATGATGTCATCCCTTAGAGTATGGAAGTTTGAGAGTAAGGTCAGTGCAGGGGCGGACTGACAACTCATGGGGCCCCCGGGCAATAGGGGATCATGGGGCCCCTGTGTCCTTGCCCAAACTCAAAAAAGCCTATGAAAAAGGTACCAGGGGCATCTCATGGGGCCCCCTACTGACTCTGGGCCCTCGGGCAGTGCCCGAGTTTCCAAATGGTCAGTCCGCCCCTGCTTGTATGTAGCTAATATGTACGGTATATCAAAATTTAGAGAGTTTCCAAATGGTCAGTCTGTCCCTGGGTCAGTGTATTACCTAGATTTTTTCTGCAACGGTGTAAAGTGGTTCTTTAACAGGTTTCTTACCACTTTAACAATAATGCATTCTATTTTAAGGTAAAAAAAATTCTGTTTGCAGCTCCCCCCACCCCCAGCCCCCCTTATACTTATCTGAGTCCGATATCGCTCCAGCGCTGTGCCTGAGAGCAGTGGTTCTTCTGGCTCTCTCCCTTCTCATAGGCTCAGAGACAGCAGCAAGAGCCACTGACTCCCACTGCTGTCAATCATGGCCAGTAAAGAAAGAGCAGGGGGTGGGCCAAAGCCACGCTCTGTGCGTCCACTGGGATCAAGCCCACATGAGTGCCCCCACAGCGAGTGGCTTGCTATGGGGGAGCTCAGCAAGGGGAGTAGCCTGGAGCACCAGCGGGGGACCCGAGAAGAGGAGGATCAGAGTTGCTCTGTGCAAAACCTCTGCACAAAGCAGGTAAGTATGACATTTGTTATTTAAGAAGAAGAAAAAAAAAGTTTAGGTTTAGGATGGATGAGAGTTCCCTTACTAAACACCAACCTTGCAGGGAGTGCAGGGTCAGCTTTAACCCCTGGTTCCCACCTATGCAGCCGTGCGGTCTGCGTTTTGCTCTGGGCACGAGAGCCCATTCATTTCAATGGACTTCCGTGCCCGTGACACGCAGGGAAAGAAGTCCCTACACTTCTTTTGAAAACGCAGCCCGCACAGGAACCTCGGTTCCCAGTATGGTTGCGTTTCCCAGTATGGGCGGCGTGCCATTAGAACTAATGGCCCCCGCCCGTGGGTCCGCATTCCTCTGTGCGGGTGGTTTAGTGCGGATCTGCAGCGGCACCACCCGCACAGATGTGAACCTAGGGTTAAGCAATCCTGGCACAGGGTCACACAAAGCAAAGTTACCCAGTAGTGGTCACACCAAAGCAGTGGCATGCAGTTCCCTAAGAGTGCCTGGCCAACATATCTATCACAGCAGCAGCCCCCCCCCAAAATACTAGAGCTTCTAGACATGGGGCGAACGTGCATGCTCCCTCCTGCATCCTGCATTCAGAAAAGTCAATATTTGCATTGCATCTTTGAAGGCTGCATAAGCAGACCCAGACAGTGGTGCATTGTAGCCAGCTCCACAGTCAGTTTGCTTTATGTGACCCCTTAAAGCGGTATTAAATCCAAAAACAAACACTTGTTATAATGCAGCTTACCAATCCTTAGATGTGATGGTTGCATTTGTTTTCTATTTTAGGTATTTTTCTGTAATTTTCCCTTGTGATCCTACCATTAAGTCTGCTGTTTCAACAGAACAAGTTGTCCTGCAGATGTAATAGTTAAGAGTGATGAGACATCCCATTTATCACTGACAGAGGTGTTTACAATAGTCAGATTTTATTTATGTAAAACCTTTATCCCAAAAGAAAAAAACTGGTCTGTAACTGCTTATAAAGTGTTATCTGTTGTTTCACTTCAATTTGTTAGTGTATGCTGCTGTCCAAACATGTCCACTGTGCTCCTTCATCCAGAGTGGGGGCATTCTAATACAGAAGGTGTGTTACTGGCCAGATCACCAGGATAAAACAGAGGGGGAAAAGCCAAAAAAGAAAACTAATGCAGCCACCACATCTAATGATTTGTAAACTGCAAATATATTAATTTTTGGCTTTGTTTATTACTGCTTTAACAGGTTTACTTAACTGCTTCTTGGGTAGAGAGCGAACTCCCCACCTGCGTCACTATTGGCTTCCCACCATGTCAATCTCTGGATCCTGGCCACCGATGCTCGGCTGGGACTCGGTGATCGTCGGTGGAGCTGATAGGGGAGAGGTCTGTGTGTAAACAACACAGATCTCTCCCCTGTCAAAACAAACATGCTGCATTGTAATGCTCTGCACAGCAGAGCAATACAAAGCAGTGTGTTTGCATAGTAAAACACACACAGCACACTATGTAAACCACAACACAGCACACTATAAACCCTTAGATCACCCCATATGTTAACCCGGCCATTTTTATTAGCACTGATCACTATATTAGTGTCACTGGGAATGTCAGTGGCAGTTAGTCAGTTTCCACTCATTGTCAGAATGCCCGCTGCAGTCCTGCTATTGCTAGTAAAAACATAAATAAATAAAAATTCCAGGGTATATACCGCCATTTGTAGACACTATAACTTTCACGTAAACCAATTATTTACACGTATTGGGAATTTTTTAGCAAAGACATGCAGCAGAATACATTTTGGCCTCAATTTATGAAGACATTTAATTTTTTTTTTTTTTTACTGGATATGTTTTATAACAAAAAGTCAAAAATATTTGTTTTTTTTTTCAAAATTGTCGGTCTTTTTTTGTTTATAGCGCAAAAAAATAAAAAAACAGAGGTGATCAAATACCACCAAAAAAAGCTTTATTTGTGGGGAAAAAATGACATGACATAAATTTGATGTACAGCATTGCGTGACTGCGCAATTGTCAGTTACAGTAACGCAGCAAAACATTGCAAAGAATGGCCTGGTCAGGAAGAGGGGTAAATCCTCTAAACGGCAAGTGGTTAAATTAAAACTTCAGGCTTCTGATATAGTTATATATATATATATATATATATATATATACACACACACACACACACACACACACATATATATATTTATATATATTATAGCTCAGCAATGTCACACAAAGTAACAAAAACCTGACAGATGTTCCAACCTCCCCACATGCTACCAAGTTCTGTCCATGTCACAGGGAAGGAACTGAGGATAAAAACTCTCCATCACGGCAACATAGGTAACAATAACAACCAGAAAGAGGTTCCAACCCTAACACCCACCCACCCAGAATTAGGTTTTAATTATAGGGAATCCACCACCAAAAATAAAGCACATAAAGCACTTCTCACAAAGTCGTTGAACCTCTTAGAAGCTGAGAAGACCTATCAATTTAGGTGAATTAAAACAATAATAATGTAGTTCAACCGGTAATAGTGCTACAGTGTATGAAATTAGCCCAAGGGCAGGAATTTCAGAAAAGCCCCCTTCCCTTCTTCTCTATATCACTACATTGGGATGACAACTTGTATCAGCAGTACTCATGTTTCCCAAGCTGGCCATACAGTACACTATATAATCAGAATGAACAATCTCTGCACAACATTAGCCTTTCTTCCCAAAAGGAACCCTTGACATAACTTTCAGGGAACCCATGCTAAAACCAATTCATTACATTACATTGGTGGTCAATGAGAGGAATGCCACTCTT